TAGGGAAGGGTGGAGGGTGTGAAGGGAGGGCTAGGAATGGGGAAAAAATAAGAACCAAGATGCATTATGTAAAGGTACAATTTCCAATGAGAAATGTAATTGTGTTGTATATCTACAATGTACCAATAAAAGAATTTAATAAAAAAAAGAGAAAATCTGCATCAGCATCACCTGTTGATTTATAAATAATAGATTCCTAAACTCAATCTAGGAGCAAGTAACTCAATATAACCTCATAGTTTATTAAGTAGCATATTCCTAAGCCCCATCTAGGACATACAAACACAAAAATCACCCATTTATTTGTATAGTAGAAGATTCCTAAACCTCAGTATTTGGGGAAGTAACACCTAGGTGCACTTAATGAAAATTACAGATATGGAACATATTGAGCTACCAGACTACATAATGTAAGCCTCAAATGTTACAGGTAGGCATCACAGTTCTGTAAAGTGAAACAGGAGGGTGAATTATTTTAACAGTATAATCCTGAAAAATAGATGCAGAGATTAAAGGACAGTTTTAAATGGAAGGAAAGACATAATTAGATAAATTACTGGAACCTATAAAATTACCATATACCTAACTTTGGGAGGATTCCATACTGTTTGATACATAGATAGTCAGATACATTTAGTATATTATAGGAAATCTCTGTGTTTGAGATGCAGAATGCAGACATGATGACTCCAGACTCTCTGCTCATGAATTATTTGAAGGCTTGTAGGGGAAGAGTGGTAGCTTCTCTCATTAGCTCTGGGATCAGAACAAGTTTTTCCTGTTTGGAAGAATTTAGAGTGATTTGTTGTTAAGGTGGTTGGGATGGTTAGAGGAATATGGGATAGGAGGACTTGCAAGAACAAAAAATGTATGATGATTTAGTTCTTCTTCTCCCACTTGCCATCAATGCAGCCTCAGGTTCTCCACTTAAAAAGATCCAATTAGAACACAGGAAACAAGAGAAAGGGTTCATTGTTTCTGATTATTCACTGTGGATTTGCTTTTGTACACAGAACACAAGTACTGTTCTAGAAATAGCTGTATTTCATGGAATGCTTTGTGTGTCAAAATTCATGATCACAGACTCTTCCTTTAGTCTCATTATTACTAGAGTAAAATGAAGATAATATAGAAAAGCAGGATAGTGATTTACAATAAATATCATAATATAATTTACAATATAAACCTTTGGAAGCAAATCTTAAACAATATACTAAATATATTTGAATTTATATTTACTATATATTTAAATATGATTGTGTTTTAAAAATAGCCACCTCAAATGGAATTATTTAATCTATTGATACATTTAACTTATGAAAGAATAAAACTTACCTGGGATTACCTTATCTAAATTACCATAAATTGGTGTGTCTTCAATATCACATTCATCAACCCTATAACCAAAAAAACCATTTATCTAATTAGAGTTCACTTTACACATAGTTCATAACTAATATTTAGCTAAATTTAGTATTGAGATCAAACCATTGCATGTTCTTATCCAGTTGCAACTAAGCAAGGTTAAATGTGTTCATGAGCAAGGACGTCGGTGAACGCATGTAGGTGTGTATATGCATGTGTGTGCAGGTGTGTAAATTTAAATAGTTGGGCTTGCAGATTTTTTTAGGTAATAATAGTAAATGATTATTCAGCAATGATTGTGTATCAGATTCTACTCTTAGTGTGTTTCATGACTTTTTTCATTTAGTTCTCATAAAAATTCCAATGGGCAGACACTATATCATCCCCATGTTACAGATAAGTAATATGAGGCACATCAGAATGTCATCCCCCCAGTGTCATCCTACCACTGACAGTGGTCCAAGTAACCAGCTTTGACAATGGCAGCCTGGGAACAGAACACAGGTGGTGAGAGTGGCATTTTATAAAATAGTACCAAGTACTTTTACATTGAGATTATGTCACTGTGAGATGGAGGGAATTGTATCAAAAGATAAAAGAACTCTTATCTCATACCATGACACCCATGTTACTTCTCAGCTTCTGAAAGAGGAGAGAATATATGTAAACAGTAGGTGTCAGTCCTTAAAAAAATAATAGCTCAAATGATGCCTGCATGAAATGGTATGAAGGGTTCAGGAGTAGCATGTATTTTGCTTATCTGATAACAATAGAACTCATCCGTAACCTTTGTTTCCATCCAGTAATGTAATACAGCTTAATATTGGGGTATGTGGTGGTCCTTGTTCATGGCTTTTCTCTGGCTACTCGGAGAATATTATAGTAAAAGGTGAAGAATTTCTAATAAGACAATCCATCCATTTTCCTAGCCCACATAGCAGATAAAACCAGCAAATGATAAATCATGTCTAAAAAAGGAATATCATTTCATTCTCTATGAATGAAAATGAGATGTGATTTATATTACAGGGTCCTGTGTCTACAAGCAGGTCTCAGATGATTAATCTCTCAAATAAACGATTATTCAGGAGCAGTTGCCTAACAAACAAATTAAAAAATGCATTTTTTACTTGGCAATGCCACATAGCTCTAGTTTATTACAGACATGTAATTTAACTTTAACAACAAACATTTAGCAGTGTTTTATGTGGAAGATTACTGTAATTATTTTTCAAAATAAATTTATAAAAAAGCCCATAGCTGAGAGGATAAAAGCTCTCTGTGGATTTAAATAACTCAATTCAATTTAAAAATAATTATTTCTTCCTAGATGCTTCTGGACCTCAATTTTCTAAGTTTCAATTGCTTTATTCATAAATCAAGAATATTAAACTTGATCTCTATTATTCTTTTAAGTTCCAAAATTCTGTGGTATAAATATTAGGTTCTAACATTCAAATAAAAATGGCATTTCTACAAAACTAAATAAAGTTGGTTTATGGAGGTGAGAGGTTGTCAGATTGCAGAAGGAGCAAGCCTAGGAGTCTATCAGAAATTGGTTTTGGCAAATGTTAACTTGATTTGCTCAGCAGCCATCTCTTTAAATAGGTAAAGATATAAGTTTGGGTTCCATCAACACAGAAATGTTATTTAGTCATGAAAGACTATGAAATCATTTGTGAAATAAGTATAAGTAGAGGAAAAGTTCACTAGAGGAGCCCTGGGTTCTCTGATGTTGAAGGTTCAGGAGCCAGCAAAGAAAAAGGAACTGCTAGAAAGAAAAAAGTAAAAGGGTGTTGGTGGTGGCCTCGAATATAGAGGAGCAAGTGTCTCAAGTAGACAGTGTCAGTGTGTCAGATGCTACAGATGGACCCAGTTAGATGAAACTAAGATTCATTGGTGACTTTGATGGGAGCTGAGCCAGTGCAGCAAAGAGGACTGAAGAAGACCAGTTAGGTTCAAGATAGAACAGGAGAAGAAACAGAGCATTTCCTTTTATGGTTATTTGTGTGTTAAAACATACAGGAAGCTGGAAACCTTAGAGGTACTTTGGGACCATGTGAGGCAGCGTCATAGGAAGGGCCTCACCTGTGTACCCACTTAGGAGTCCTTATGTCATGAAGGACACCCAGGAATTCTCTTGGTTTAAGGACTTTCAATCCTGAGAACAGTAGGTCAAGAGGAGAGTTGAGATTAGTTACATATAGGGCACTATTTATATTTTGTTAGATCTGCCTTCTTGCAGATCTAGACATCCAAGAAATCACTATACAGTAGAAAAGTGGCTGAGATAAAATAACACTGTGTGATAAAAGCACCTCTAGTGCTACCCAAGAACAGACCACGAGAACCTAGTGGGAGCATGTACCAAGCTCTGTGAGAGGCTGAAATCTGAAGGGCCAAAATAGCTTAAAGTAATTGTAAGCCAGAGCTGCCTTCCTAAACTAGGGTGAACAAGCTGCATGCAGGCAGAATTTTCTTAAATCTTAATTTTCATCCAGTTACACAGCAACTTTTTCATCAACTGATTTCTGTAATTAAAATATATTATCATCAGTATTTTTCAGATGTTAAAAATGAATTTCACCAATGTTAAATCTCTTCCCAATACAAATATACCATTCCAAGAATTTGATTAAAATTCTAAATTGTCTGGATCCCAAATACCTGGTATGCCCACTATATTAACTTCTTTACACAAATAAAAAGACAATAATTATGTAGAATTGCACTTTAGGGGAAAAATAAATTGGACCAAGGGTCAATATCATGAAACACATCTCTAACTATATGTTAGATTTAGATGCTATGCCCTTAAATTGGCTGTAATTCTCACCTACTAGTACAGGAAGGGCAGAGATTTGGAGAAGGAAGCAAATAAAGATCAGAGAAAAATTTGTCTTCCCTCTAGCATAGCGTCTCAGCTAAACAGGTGTTATATAGAGTGTAATGGGGAACTCATTGTGATGGAAGCGCCTTCCTTCTACCTGGCTGTGAGCCATTTTGGAACCAAAGAATCACCTGTAACTCTAACTCCACCTTGAAAAGATAGATTTATTTCCACTTGCTTTGTTTTAAGGCTTTAAATTTAATGACTGAAAATAATTTCATATTTGTTGTTGGAGAGTCAATGTCCCTCTGAAAAAGCGATTTTGGATCTCAAATCACATAATCAAGAGAAGCAGACAAGTTAAGAAGTATAAACAAAATTTGTAAATATGACTTTATGGATAACATCTGTATCTTACATTCAAATGTTGCCTAAATAGAGATCTATTACTATAGACTATTGTCTGCTGAAATAGACAATAAATGAGCTATTCTTCATACAGTGGGAGTCCACCCTTGGAACTGGCAGCCAGTGAACTTGTTTTACAATTGTCTAGTACACTGTTTTTTTTATTGAATGAATATTTATTGGATGAACATTATAAAAGAACCAGCCTCTTTCCCACATTTGCCTACAGCTAAGGACCTGCTTACATAGAGATGGATATTTTACCAATTTTCCCATCCAAGTCTTCCTGTGCTAATCCCCAAACCATCAACTTTGTCTTTAGCTAAATGATCAAATCACAAGACTTTCTATCACATTGCATCTTAATTGTCCTTGAAATGACAAGTATCAAATCAATCATCAAAAAGATTAGTGTCTACTTTGTGTTTTAGGATCTTCTTTGTCTTGTTTATTGTAACAAACAAAAAAGTGATCAGCAAATAATTCTTGACATGAATTGATGACTTGAAAATGACCTCATGCTGAAGCATCCAATATTAATAGTGATCCTAAAAATAAAAATTTTATGTGGGACAGCCTGAAGCCCAGATCTTAAATGAACCAGAGACTTTTTAACATGAAGAATTTTTTTTTAAAAAAGACCTTTTAGAGTCTGGTGTGGTGCACACATTTGTAATCCCAACACTCCAGGGGCTGACACAGAAGAATCGCTGTGAGTTCAAGGCCAGCCTGGGCTACATAGTGAGTTCAAGCCCAGCCTGAACTACATAGTGAGACTCTGTCTCAAAAAACCAAATAAAAAAAAATAAAAAGAACTTTTAGAGGTGAAAAAGGCATGATCTTTTCCTATCCAGTTAGAAAGCTCAGTATTTTCCAAAGATCCTTCTGCCTACCATTTCAGAAGATCTGAAAGGACACTAGAAAATTCTCTTTATTTAGATTGTTTTCTTACCTGAAATGGACTCTCCAATATGATGACACATTTGGGTAGCATATACTATCTAAAAATAATTTTTTACTAGGTTTATTCCATAAATATTCTTTTAAAACATATCATAATGCACATATACAAATTCTGCAACTACATTAATATATTAAAGAGAACCAGTATTAAAAAGAATCTATATTATTTATATTATATATTATTTTGGAGTATATTATTTTAGAGTTGAGACTCTATAGTGTATATATTGAATATTATTTTAGAGTATAGACTCATTGGATCTCCATGTTTATTGTCATTACCCCTAAATATGCACTAAGCATATTTGTACATATGTGTATACATGCATATATGTGCATGTGTGTATATCTTAAATTTTTAAAGTATTGCCAGATTTCTTCCTTCACTAGACTCTGAAGTGCAGTATAATTTTATATAAAATTGTACTGTACTCTTAAAATTTTATCTGAATAATAATCTAGGATATCTGCTTCTGAAATAAATGAAATTCTACAGATGCTAAGTTTAGAGTTTCATTTCATTCTTCTCCCAACTCTTTGCTTGACAGAGGACATGTTAATAACTAGGGCAGATAATAATGTTACACCTGCTTATCTTCAAATAAGTATAAAATTAATCAAAATTATTTTTTATTTTATTTTAACCCAAGTACAACAACCCTGAGCTAAATCTATAAATAAATACTACAGCATTTGTTACTGTCTCTTATTAGTTGGAAGTCATAATAAATGACTCAATTTCAACATACCTGGGAATGTAGTTATCAGAATATCTGTACATTTTATCTGAAAGATATTCAAAACATACAAATTAAAAAAAACTTTGACATACATTTGTTAAGTCTCCCACCGCGTTCTGGGGGAGCTTAGCATCAATGTAAGTAAACATATTTGACTACACTCCTGAGCCTGACTATACTCCACCAATGATTGGACTAGAGATGTGATGGTTTGGGTATACCCCAGGAGTCCTTGTGTTAAAGGCTTGGTCCCCAGGATGATGGTATCAGTAGGTGCTATTGAACTGTCAAGAGGGGTGGGTGCTCAGTGGGAAGATCTTGGGTCATTGAGTATGTTGCCCTCCATGAGGTTAAGTGTTTTCTCATAGCATCCCTTGGTAGTTCCCTTTCTGTCTCTGCTTCCTGGCTGGAGATATGATTGTTTACTTCAACCTGTGCTCCTGCTGTTGCTATCTGCCATAGGTGATGTAGTCGTGGGGAGGCTTTCTCTACAGAAACTGTCTGGACTTTAAACTTCCAGAACTATAAGCTAAACAAATTTCTGCCCTTTAAATATTGAGCCACCTTAGGTATTTTTGTTGTAGTAATATAAAGCTGACTAATACAAAGATAAAGACCTTCTCCTGTATGGGCCAATCAGATTCTGTCTTGGCAATTTGAGGTGGAAACAAGCAAGTTCAAAATTATATAGAACCCAGATGCATGGCCAATTAATGCACAAGAAACACAAGGCAGTGAAAGCCAGGACCACTACTCATGCCTCCCTTATGGTTCCTGTCCATTGTGGAGTGTGGATGTGCTTTTTGCCTTTGAGTTCTGTGGGTCTTTCTGCATTCTTCTGTTAATTTCCTCCTTTGCTCATATTGGTTTGAATATTCTTTTCCTTCTTATATAACAATCCCTAAGAGCTCTCTCTCTCTCTCTCTCTCTCTCTCTCTCTCTCTCTCTCTCTCTCTCTCTCTCTCTCATCTCTCCTCAAAGTGTTAACATTTCTTGGCTTCTAAGCAACAATATAAAGCAATGTTAAGGAAGTAGCTCAGGCCATAACTCCATTTATCCATATGGTGCAAACAATAGTAAGTGGTGGAAATAATCTTAGGGAGAAGAGACTGGGAAAATATTGGAACTCAGTCCCTAAAATTAGTCAAAACAGTAGTATGGCTTTAAAGAGAAACATTTCTCTTTGGTTTGCAAAGACAAGACTGACCAGGAATATAATTTATGACAATAAAACCAAAAAAATTATGTCCAAATCTCATTATGTTACCTACCATTGAACCTTGTTGGTAGCTCAAAGCCAAATTACTTCTAGTTAAATATGTATATGAAAGAATTTGGAAAACTACAACTTTAAGAGTTTTCAGTAGTGAAGGTAATAGAATCATAATGAGTTATTGAAATAAATTAAGAAATATTCAGAATATAGCTTTGATCATTAAAATTAATATTATACAGAAATCTATTTTATCCATTCATAAATCAATTTTCTTTGACTTGAATGGATACATATAACATGTTATTTATTCTATTTGAATTGCTTATTATGTAACCAGACATTAAACAAAGTTAAAGCCTTCCAGAAGATATTACTTAGAAATAAAGATCAGTATTAGCTAAATCTCTGGCAATGACCCAGAGATAACACTTACCAATCTTTCAACTTTAACATATGAAAAACACAATTTTGGTAAGGAACTAACAGTAACATTTTAAAATAATTGAGTAAGTCATAAAACAACTATGAAGATTATTTTTAGTTAAATTTATATGTGACAATGTTGAGTTATTCTCCAGAGAGGTTATGAACTGCTAAAGAAACATTAGTGGGGAAATTTATGGAGGATGAAATGGTCATGGAACCCAAACTGATGAAAATAATCCTGTCAGAAATACACTTGTTCCAGCCCACAAGAAATGTCCTACCACAAACCTCATATAAAAGATGCAGTTGTTTTCAACTACTTTCACATTAGTCTTGTGAATATGCATGCACACGAAGGCTGGGGGAAACCTAGAGAGGTCTTAAGAAAGTTTCACAGTACACACAACTGAATAGAATTCTGGCAAAAACAGAAAAACTGAGAAATATAGATATAAGCATAAGGAAAATTAGTTAATGTAGACCAGAATATTGTAAACTGGAAAATGAAGGATATACAGTATATTTTTATTTCTTTCTATTTGGGAGAAGATGTTTATACTCAGGCCATCATTATTCAGTTTTGTTTAGAATTAAAGTGAATGCATAAGAAGTTGGTCAAATCATAGCCTGATGTAGCATGGAACAAATCCAGGTTAGGAATCAGAAAATATTTGATTTGGTTCCAGTTTTGCAATACATTTGCTCTGTGATAACATGGAAATTATAGAAAACTATGATTATCAATTTGTTTACAAAGTAAGAATAATATTACCATATTATGAAGCAGATATGGAAAATGAGATAATTTCTGTAAAAACAATTATAAAATGGCAGTTACTTATTGATAGAATACATTCTGAATCTGTATCATATAACAAGCCTTACTCCAATTATGCTCATTTCAGTTGGGAAGTTTCTTCATTAAATGAGTTAACGGAAAGAAAGCTCATGTTATTAAGATGGTATTTTAAAGTTAAAATATAAGTAAAGCTTAAGTTAGAATGAAATTACTAAAATTTCACCTTTGATAAGAGAATTGTCACCAGATGAGTGATGGTTTGAACTATTATTATTATTTTTTTTTTTTGGTACTGGGGATTGCACTTGGGACCTGGGCTTGTGAGGTAGGCAGTGGAACCACTGAGCTAAATCCCTGGCCCCTGAAATTTTAAAAAAAGAATTTGAAAACAAAAATTTTTAATGCCACTATTTAATAAGAAATGATAGATGTAGAATACAAATATTTCTCCAAACCAACTAATCTTTTTATAATATAATATGGACCTTTCAAATGGAAGTGCTTAAAATATAAACATCAGTACCTGGAAAGTATACTCATGTGTGTGTAAAAGAATAAACTATAAAGAAGAGAAATGTAATTGGATGTATTATCAATAGAAAAAAGAAAAATAAAAGTAAGACCAAAAAGCTTTGTAGGGAAAAGGGTACAGAAGCAACGGTATAAAGGACACAATATAATAATATATATTGCTTAAATGGGAGAAAAAGGGGACTAAAAATGTGGGAAGGAAGAAAATAAATAATAGGTAAGGGAGATTATATATCAAGACCAACTGTATTGAAATATACCCTGAAAGAGGACTTAAAAGGTTCAAGGGCACCATATTCCATGCTCTTTGTAGAATGAACATGTGGAACCTGGAGCTGGGCCATCAGTGCTTGGGTGATTTTAGTTTGACAGTTCCTCCTCAGAAGGTTAGTAGCATGTGATCACTTTAAATGAATAGCAATAATGAAAAGTTCCAAAGCTAGAGTTAAGAATGAAGATCAGCGTGCCTCGGCTTCTGAAAAGAACTCGCTCCGTCATGAGTGCTCCCCAGTTTATTTAAAAATAAATGACATGATTCAAATGCCTCCTAGTCTTTTCAAGGACATTTAGCAAAACTAAAAACTATGTGCTTTGATATAAATCAGCTAAGTGTGGACGATTGCATATGAGAATGCTTGTATGCTAGATGAGTTTTTATAATCCTCTCCTATGATTCAGATGCAAAACTTGCGGTCAGGTATATAGTTCAGAGGGTGTATTACAAATGTATTTGCTTTCATGCTTTCCCCTTTTTGAGTGTTCACTTTTCTGTACACAATATGCTATAGCAAGAAACAACAGCACATTGTTTAAATGCTATAGTGGAATCTCTCTGATTTATTTTCAATGTGAAATATGAAAAATGTGACACAACTTTCTACTGAATAGGAGATACACGATAAGACTGATATATTCACAAATTATGCTTGCATTTATCCTTTTCAAGGCAGAGAGGATGAGTTGGATAAATAATGTTCTTTGGATTTTAAAGAAAAGAAAACCTAATGCATTCCACTCAGCAAAAGAAATATAATCCTCCTAAAGAACAGATTTGGACAAAAATCACATAAAAATGGAAGATTTATTTTAAGAAGAAAACAGAACTTCATTTCAAATCTTCTACCTGGCTGCTACAGAAAACATCAAGAAAAAGGCTTATCTTTTGTATCTGATTGAATGTGTAGATACTGTTGCTGGCATGGAGATTTTCTTTTGTAAACTATTTAATACACCAGCAAAACTTACTCAAGACTGTTGACCAAGGTGGAGTCAGACCTTGCAAGCTTCTTAGCCACAAAGAGTAGCACAAAGATGCAAACATAAAAAGTTATGTGAGGCCGGATGCAGGAGCATTGCACTCACAGACTGAGTGGAAGAAAAACTGCCATATATGACAGAATCTCTTCTAGTTTCTCTGCAGGAGGAATGAGGCAGAGGGGAGTCTGCAGGACACTGGGGCTGCTTGAAGAGGGAATCCCAAATCTATCTGATATCTCTGGATGAGAAAGAAAGTGCTATGTGTTCATATGAAATGGAAAGGATGGCATAGTTATTACTCATCCTTGGGAAAAGCTGTCAGGAGGAGTTGGGCAGGTGAAAAAGTGTTGTGGAGAGAAAGAGTGGGACGAGAACAAAGCATAACAATGAATGCTGCACCAAGGCTAATAATCTTGGGTTTATACACCAATAAAGTGCAAGGGCTAGGGCTGTGCATGCCAACTAAGGAGGATATGTGAATGCTCAAATGAAATGATTGTAGTTGGCTAATAGTAAGAACTAATTTCACAGAAGCTTACAGAAAGCTCACTGGAATGGATCTGAATATGACTTACACAAACACAACAGCTACTGCTAAACCTTAGGGCATTGTAAGATTTGTTAAATAATACTGAGATGAGGGCAAGAAGTGGAGTGGAAATTGGAGTGGAGCGTAAGCATGGTGAGAGCACCAAAGAGACCAGAAGAACTAACATTCACTGAAATAACCAATGTCAAAGCTTGGTGGGAAAAAATGCAGCCATGGTAGGCCCTTAAGATTCGTGGAAAGTGTAGAGGTCTTTTACTTCCTTTGTTAGGTTGATTCCTAGATATTTCATTTTTTTAGATGCTACTGTAAAAGGAATTATTTCCCAAATTTCTCTCTCAATGGGTCTGCTATTTGCATATAAGAAGGCTATTGTCTTTTGAGTGTTGACCTAATATCCAGCTACTCTACTGAATCTGTCAATTAGGTCTAGAAGGCTTTTGACCAAGTTTTTTGGGTCTTCTATGTAAAGTATCATATCATCAGCAAATAATGACAGTTTCACTTCTTCCT